AAGGACACATCGAGCTCCACGCTCCTCTCACCGTTACTCCAACTGCTAACTGCTATTGGCCTACAGTAGTTGTTTTTCTTTTGTTAAAAAAAATTGAAGCAAAACTTTTTTTATCTGCACTAATAACAATAATTTGAAACCCTAGTAAGTATGATTTCGAAAGTTGAGCGCTATCTTCTTACTACATGAGTTCCACTTTTCATTCTGTATCACCATGCTGTAAAAATGCTAATTAAAAATGTTAATATTAAAATGTAAATTATTTATTGCATCATCCTTAACATTTAATCCTAAGTCAGTGATACAAATCTAGGTCTTCTCTTTCTGGACCCTTGAATACGCTTTGTGTAAATTTAAAAAAAAATGGTGACAAATAGTGGAGTCGTAATTCGCCCTTTATGCCAATAAGATTTTGATATTACCAGGGCCAGTTAATGACAACGGTCTTGGGTGTTCATAAACTAACCATCGCAGTTATAGTTGGTCGGAATCTGAATGTACCGTTCTTCTCCTCCCCCGCCCCACACTCACCTCTCTAATTACACACCTCTAAATTGCAAATACAGGAGAATCAACACACAGTATAACAAAAAATTTGAAAGAGGTTTCTTTAGATAAGTTGGTTATTTGGTTCAAACTTTTTTCCTCTAATATTTCAATTTTAGTTTACTTACTACTAATAATGGTTCAAAGCTGGTCATTAATGTTTCCGTTTCCGGTCATCAGTTTTGAAATTGACAATACATTTCGATCTACCTATTTATACTGTATTTATATAAATTGTTAGAACAACTTTGAGCCATTCTAGTGGTAATATACAGTGATTAGAATAATCAGTACGAGTGTGATTGAGACAGTCCCGTAAATTACGAAGCTATGGTCATGGTCAAATATATACGGATGATAGGAACTCGCGACAGGAAAAAGTGCACAATCTTTTACTAAGCCCATCACATCAACTTTGAGCCATTCTAATCGTAATATACAATGTGTAAGAATGATTGCATTTTATTCTATCGTATATTTTTGTATATTATTGCTAATAAGTTACCCTAATACCCGACCTTCGTACGGGGTTGACGTATAAGTATAACACGCTTACTACAGTTATACAGTACCGTACTGTGCTTTGCGTTTGCAATGGGAGATGAGAGGACATGTTTTAAGAAGATTTGGTTTACTATAATTTACGGTATACTATTAGTAAAGCACACCTACCATAGCCATAATAATGTAGTTAATGCGTGATTGAACTTCAAACAAACAAACACACAGACTTTCACATTTATTTATATTAGTATGATATTTTTAAAATATTTATCTGCCCCGGGACTTTGAAAGCGTAAAGTATGGTCTAAAATTGTTCTAAGTTAATGTTTTAGGTTTATGGCATTTTCTTGTGTAATAAAAAAAGAAACGGGAAAGGTTACAACTAATTTACTTGTTAAACAACTGAGGATAATGCATTATTTGTTGAAATAGATTATTAGGCAATGAACTGCAACAAGGGGTTTGAGGGCTTTTAAATAAATTTAGATGAATATTCTGCTTTCACTGGAGTGATCCAAAAAGTATTAACTTACAATTTTCAACAAACAATTATTGTCATCTTTAGCAGAGTTAACACTATGGAATGATACAAATTATTCCTTGAAAAAAAAACATAACCAAAGCAAACAAAGAGACTGTTTTTTACCCAAAATATATATAGTTTACAGGGATGCCTATCCTGACAAATAGAAAATTTTATTCTGAGTTTGTTTAATTATTGCAATAATTAATTTGTTTTACATTTGAGCTTTTTAGGGACTTATGTTCCTACAATCCACTGGTAAATTATTGTTACAACTAAACATTCCATATAGTAGAACAAAAATGCCAAGTAGGCCTATAGCGTAGATGGGGCGATAATGAATTGGTTCATTATATTAATGATTTTGTATTTAATTCAGCGAGTCTACGCCCCTGGATTTAACTTTCCTCCCGCCGCATGGCAACACTGCTAGGTAAATGCAGTGATGTAGTTAGTATTTTGGAACTAAATTTCCCGTTCAAGTCCGGCTTCTGACGCGATGTTAAAACTATAATAATTAATGATACTGTTTTGATTTTGATTTGAAGTCCGGCTCAAGTTATGGGAAAGATTAAGTATACTTGTAGAGGTAGAAGTTTTATAAACATTCATGGACATTGGTCAGTGAAGCTGAAGCACATTCTATCTTTATCAGTCACTGTTGCTGCACTAAAACTGATGTTAACACTTTGCTGCACAAAACTATATCAAGTTTCGAGACACAATCCTGCACGGAACTTTAAAAAAATAATATATATATATATATATATATATATATATATATATATAAATTTACCGGGTGTTTCAAAATGAATGACCCGGTTTTAACGCTTTATATCTTTTATACTTAAACTTCCCGCTATAAAATACACATCAAACGAAAAAGCAACTCAAAGAGTTTATGCCTTCCAAAAGACACATTATTTAACAAAATAGATCCAGTAGAACTGTAGATTTAATTGTACAAAGTTAAAAAGTAATCTCCAACTTTTTTACCACTAGAAATTTGGAGGTTGCTTGACGTTTTTGCAAATAACTTTTAAATGGCGAGGAAATCGACCAAAGTGGAAGGTAAATATTCCGAAAGAGAATAAAATTGCCTACAATATACTATTATGCATTTCTTGAAAATACTCAATAAATGTAGCCTAAATTTGCCTTAAAATAAAAAGTGTAAAATTTAATGTTTGCTATGTCTATTGTCTACATTGAAGACTGGGATTTTCAATTTTTTTTAATTTTGAGGCAATTTTTGGTACTTTTCTTGAGTATTTTCAAGAAATGCATAGTAGTAGATTGTAGGAATTTTATTCTCTTTCGGAATATTACCTTCCACTTTGGTCGATTTCCTCACCATTTAAAAGTTATTTGCAAAAACGTCAAGCAACCTCCAAATTTCTAGTGGTAAAACAGTTGGAGATTACTTTTTAACTTTGTACAATTAAATCTACAGTTTTGCTGGATCGATTTTTGTTAAATAATGTGTCTTTGGAAGGCATAAACTCTTTTGAGTTGCTATTCCGTTTGATGTGTATTTTATCGCGGTAAGTTTAATATAGTACACAAGTTATGAAGCGTTCAAACCAAACCGGGTCATTCATTTTGAAACACCCGGTATATATAATTTTAATATTTCTTGTTTGTTTGGATAACAGAGATAACAAGTCTTTATAAATTTAAATCATTCTATCATTGACATGTGTATCAATAAATTGGCGTTGCATTTTCTGTAAAATCTTGCAGTAGTTTAGGGAGCAGAAATAAAAACAGGGAATAACAATTAAACAGATATAAAAACGGTTAAAATGTACAGTGACTAATATGAGAAATGTGAGAAAACCAACAAATATTTTATAATTTTGTATGATTGCCAAAATTGTATTGAAGAATAAACAAATTTGAATTTATAACCTTGTTTCCAACCTCCTTCTGGCAGGCTTAGAGATAGGAAGGTCGTCTTTAGGAAACCCCGAAATATGTCTGGGGTTATAAATTCTTATGCGGCTGTATAGTATTTAGATATAAGCTACGCAGGTCAAAGAACGTCAAGAGATGCCGCTGTCTCGATCATAAAATGTGTTTTATCGATGGGTAGTGTTCGTTCGCTCGGTGACACTTGACACTAAAGGGATGGAAACTATACTCTGTTCGGCGAGTGTTTGGAGTGAAGCGCCGCCCGCTGGGGGAGTGACATTTGAGTCAGGCCTGTTCACAGTAAACCCCCTGTGCAGCCTTGCTATTGGTATTAACCTCGAATCCATTCAAACACTTTTGTTACTAATTTGACCGACCGGTGGAATGTTTGTAAAAAGTTCCCGAAGAAACGTCAACCTCTTCCACCATCTCGGGGCGGGTCACTCTTTTTAAGGGTACTTTTTCTACTGTAGGCACAATACATTTTTCACAATACTTTTTCTACTGTAGGCTGTTCATTTTTGAAGAAAAACTCATGCACATTTCGTCTAATGGCACATTTAGTAGTTTTTAGTTTTTTCAAAAGTACTGAGTCTTTTTTTCTTATTTTCAGGAGATTTTAACCCCGAAACATGATCTTTAGTGTAGGCGGAAATTAATCTGTACACACTACTTTTTCCCACTCCCACCCTACCATGGCGGAAACCTTTTTAACTGCACTGTATTTTAAAATATTAGGGGTTTCAGATAAAATACTTTTGTAAACATTAACTATGCACTGTTTCTTAACACTGTTTATAATTTGTACACGTTTATTCCTAATAGGAGAAAAACTGTGCACTTTTTCCTGTCGCGCGTGCTCTAACTATATAGATTTGCCTACACAGCTTCGTAATTTATGGGACTGCCTCAATGTTACTCATACTAAGTATTCTACACATTGCTTCTTACCATTAGAATAGCTCTAAGATGATTACTGTGTATTCTAATTATACACATTGAATATTACCATTAGGATAGCTCAAAGTTGATGTGATGGGCTTAGGAAAAAGATTGTACACTTTTTTCCTGTCGTGAGTTCTTATCATCCACATTGGCCTATATATATTTGACCATAGCTTCGTAATTTTCGGGTCTGTCTCAATCATACTCATACTGATTATTCTAAACATTGGGTATATTACTAGTAGAATAGCTCAAAGTTGATGTGATGGGTTTAGGAAAAAGATTATGCACTTTTTTATGTTGGGAGTTTTAATTGAACGTGTTTTGTTCAGCCATAGCTACGAAATATGCCTACAATACATGAATTAATTATTGCACGTGTATACACGGTTTATCCACGTTTATGAAGATCATGGTATTATTAACATTATATACATGTAAAAACATCATTTCGCACAGTAATATCATTGTATTGTCTTTCCGGCATCCCTGCAAAACACGTTTTGTGAGTGGTTTGTGGCATCCACAGGCGTACCAACCAACCCGTATCTATTACAATTCGAAAAAGCGCCGATGGAGCCGCTAACTTCACGACACGACGGTCCAACTCCAAGTCTCCAACCAACCCAACAGCAAATGGGAAAGTGGCAACTGGTCTGGCAACCACCTACCTATTTATTTAAATTCTGATATTAGATGCATGGGAGGAAGAATTTTGATTTGCTTCTAGGAGGATAATTAATTTGTCTTGTACAACCGTGGCCTAGAGTGGATAATACCATTAATCAATTACCTGTAAGTTTGTTCGTTATATTTTCCTCAAGTTGCACTTATGTTACCTGTCCTCACTGACTTGTTTTGGGGTGGCAAAGTGAATTAGCCTATTCTTTTTAGCCTTAAATTATTATTCATTAACTTCAAAACGGGTACAGTTTCTTACATTTAACTGGGCTACGCTAATATTCGATTGAAACTATCGAATTGAAAATATTGATCAATAGGCCTAATCAATATTTTAAAATGTATCTATATTTGTAAAAGAGGAAGTTTGTATATATATTTGAACGTTATGAACTCCGAAACCACTCGACAGATTGTAATGAAACTTTCAGGCATTAAAGCATTATTTAAAGATGGTTTGTGTGAAGTTTGGTGCAGATTTGTCAAAAGGGCTCCGCCCCAATGGCTCTGGAGTTATATTTAAATGGAATTAATTAAAGAATCTTAACAGCTGTTTCAACTAAACAATTTGATTCTATGATGATCAATAGCATTAAAAGATTACAAAATTTATCAACAGGGTGCAGCACTATATTGTCTAAATTTATGACAACTAGAACTACTAATATTTCAACCATACAATCAAGCACCTGTGATACAAAATTAGAACTGTCAAAGTAGGATTGTTTACCATTTCTGTTTTTGTTTTTAATTTAATAAATAATTTTTGATATTGTGTGAATAAGGAGTTTTATTTTTTAAGTGCGTAATTCAGTAATTTATTGACTTTCTTTTTCCCAAAATGTTTATATACAGAATTTTTATGGTTTATTTCCCCCAAAAAATTGTCTGGGAAACGGAAGTAACCAGTTAAGTTAATAGACCTATTTTAAGTTAATTAAGTTAGTGGATTACTAAAATTGTATCTACATATAGCAGATCTATGGAATACTCTTCCCGTTGCGAATCAAGGGTATGGTGGCTAGTCTATTATAAAATTAACCTAACCTAACCAACCAAACTAGCTGATGGTGAAAAAATTGCGTGAAGGTTTACTAATCGAATCAATATTACCGTACCGTAGCCCAGTTAAGAAACTGTAGGCTACCCTTCAAAACCCCCAAAATAAGGGAAGATTGTTTCAGATAACCATGGCAAAGGTAACTAAAATGGTCTTCTCATGTAAACATAGGCCTACACCTATCACAATAGGTATAGGCCCTAGGCCTACCGGGTACAGTTTCTTAACTGGGCTATGCTAATATCGATTGAAACTATCGATTCGATTAGTAAACCTTCATGCGATTTTTTCACCATCAGCAAGTTTGATTGGATAGGTTAGGTTAGGTTAAGATAGTTTAGTTTGATAATAAATATATTTAAAAATATAGATTATTAATCAATATTTTCAATTTGATAGTTTCAATCGATATTACCATAGCCCAGTTAAGAAACTGTACCCGGCCTACCTAAGTTAGGCCTAACCTTTGACTGTTAACCTTCCCGGACGGGCTAAATCGTGACATAGGACGGGAAAAAATAGAGAAAAAATAAAAATTAATTTTCCATATTTGTGTTTTGTTATACAAGAAGGCCTATACATAAAATGAACACAATGGAACACTTCATACTGTCAAAATAATTTTTTACTCGTTTACTTATGCGGATATATCCGCTACCCGTCTGCGAATGAGTAGAAATTCAGCGGATATATCCGCCACCCGTCTTTGAAGATATGACCATGACAACGTTTCGGGGTGAGCAGTTTGTCATTTTAAGCCCATTTTGTATGACCCTCGTGCGTTCCTGGTACATGACCATGATACTGACTAAGTTAGTGCGTTAAAGTGTCCTTTATTTCGTGACCGCATGGGTAAATTACGCAGTGCAGCCATATTTATCCACAAAACGGCCATCAAAAGATTTTGGTGTGCGCAGTTTGTCATTTTAAGCCCTTTTTGTATGACCCTCGTGCGTTTCTGGTATATGACCATGATACTGAGTACTTAAGTGTCCTTTATTTCGTGACTGTATGGGTATTACGCAGTGCGGCCATATTTTTCCGCAAAACTACTTGTTGGTGAGTTATTGGCAGGTTCACACAAGTACTAAGTTTTTAATTGAAAATTTAATTTTTTTAAAGCATTAAATACGTTTTCACCATTGGTTCAAACTTAAATTAGTAACTTAAGTTAGTGGTTCTGCTACTTTAAGTTGTTTAATCTTTAGCTACCTAACTTAAGTTACTTCTGTCAAAATCTGATACCTAAGGTATATGATAATAATTTGAAACAAACAGCCACAACGTCACTAAATATGAAATTAATTTAAATTACAAATAGAGGACAACTAAACTATTGATGTTATGGCCTAAACTTATGCCACCCACCATAAACTTACCAAGTAGGCTAGACTTGCTGGCAAATATTAGTGACTTTTGATAGGCCTAACTTTGTGTCTGTATGTGTCACCTGTCTTGCATTTATTAGTACGGCCATCCCTAAAGCCGCGTTTACACGAGGCCAGCTGTTGGGCAGGTTAGTTGCCTCAGGTAACTTGAAATAAACTAGAGGCAAGTAACCTGCATGCCCTACTGGCCTCCTGTAAACACGGTTTTACACTCTGTTCACACTGTACAGTATGGTTTTGCCATCCGGTTAAAAACCATACTTTTTTACGCCGTGTTTATCTTTTGTATAACTTAAGCCTGCACGGTTTCTGACGGTACGGCGAGATGAGTGTGTTTAAAACGCTGTCACAATAAACATAACTTAACTTAATCACTGTCAAATCAACAAGCCAGATTGTAAACGATTAACAGTGCAACAGCTGATCTATTTGCACTGAATGGTGGTATAATCATTGATGGTGAGCTTGCGTTTAACTACATGGCGTGACAACCATCTGGTTCAGTGGCAGTGTACTTTTGGAAGCTGTGTACTCAAGAATAAGATCCCATCAAATTTTAGGCTAATTTAATCATTAGGCTATCAATTAACTTAAGTCTCTAAAAGGAAGGATCAAACCTTATTGGACCAGATTGACTAGTTGTCTGCATCTAAATCTGTGATTTTGTTTGTTACTAAATTAGATAGATCTTTGACCTTATTACCGGTACCGGTAGGCCTACATTTGTTTGATTTTTCTTGCAATCCTTGTTCTTTATCACACATCAAAGTAGTGTGTTTGTAGTAACAAGTAACTACCAAGTATAAGGCTAGGCGCACACGAGCGATTATTTTTAGGCGACTATTTCATCGGCCGATCTCGATCTGTGCATCATGTATTTGAATGGAAGCGTGCACACAGGCGATCAAGAATTGCGCCGATTTTAAAATCTGGGTGTTGCCACAGATTCGTAGGCGAGGCGATTGTCGCCCGAAAATCTGTAACTTACAGATTGTTATCAGTCCGTGCACACGGTTGACTAAAAAATCGGCCAGTCGCTTGTTGTTCTCAACAGGAGTCAGTAAACTTCAGTGTGAGTTGTGTTGTTTTCTTTGCTAAAAAAGGCCACAGCTGTTATAATAAAAACTGAAACTTTCAACAGACATTCTATAGTAATTAAAGAACGTTTTACTGTTATCACGTAAAGTGTATAGGCTAGTTTATAAAACTGTCGATTTAAAAGTCTCTGACTTACTATCGGATGAACCCAATATTTTAAGTTGTCTTCTTTTTTCTTTGATCTAATTAGAAGAGCACAAACACAGGTTAATTCAACAAAGTCCATTTTAGGATAGCTTAAACACACTCAAAAAATCCATTTTTAACTAAAAATCGCCACGTGTGCGCCTGGACATAAATGAAGGGCGATTTATTTTTTACCTATTTTTTAATCGGTCGATCGAAAAATCGACCGTGTGCGCCAGGCCTAAAGGCTATAACTACAAAATTTGAATATGTGCCTGAAGTAGATTTAAAACAAGCCCTTTTTTCTTTACCTTTGACTTCTGATTTCATGAACCGCCACAATCTCTTCAATGACTGCATGTCTGCCAAGATCATTAACTTAGTCATCTGGTAAGCAGGACTCTACTTAAGGCAACAAAACACAAGATTTATCTTCTGTTATCTCTCTATTGTTTCCAAGGCTTGCAATTGACATTCCAATTTTTTGTGAAACTGCATTAGAGACAAATGATGTTCTAGTTCTGTGTTTTTTAATTCCAAAGCCAGCACCTCCCTAACATATACTTATACTGGAAGTCTGCATCACCAAAATGTAGTACCTTAAGTTCCTTAGAGCCTTAATGCTGTTGGTGGAAAACTTTTTAAGGACCTCTTTCTGTCTTTTTCACATGCTCTAGACCTAGAAATCAGATTTGTTAATGAGTATTGGAACTTCTATGTAGCATTTAAGAGTCTTCTTCACCCTCGATGTTTGCCCCCAAACATCGTGGCCTTGGGGTGGAAGGTGGGAATAACGGGCGGGTAGCATGGGGTCATTATGCTATGCGTGCCATTCTGAAAAGATCGTAAACACACAACGCGTCGCCGTCGGTGACTCATCTGCCGGCTGGGCCAAATTTTTAAAGGGCTAGTAGCGCAATTAGCCTTCCGACAAAACATGTTAATTTTGTCCCCCGTTTCGAAGTTACCTCAAAAAATTAAAATAATAAAAAAGTTGTATCAATGTTACTCAAATAAAGTAAGTTACTCAACTTAAGTAACTTAACTCAATTTAAGTAATTAAAGTAACTGAATTTATGTTACTTTTAAGATTTTTTTTGTAGGTACTCATACAATTATTGATTTTCTTGGATAGACCTATATCTGGTATGAGGGCTCTAGAACCAATGTTAATCTGTATGGGGAAAAGGTTTTAATATTAGATCTTTACAAATTTCATCAGGAGCAAGGGACTTCCAAGGCATGTTTTTATTGTTTTTGTAGGGGTGAAGAAGACTCTTGAGGTTGGTTCCTTATCTATGGTTTGAAAAAAAAAACTCCAGAATTGCAGCCATTCCTTTGGATCTCTGCCAAATTTGATCAATTTGACTTTTGGAAATCTCACTGCGTTTTGCTTAGGTAGGCTAATGAAATACTTTTATTACTTACCGCACAGAATTGCTGAGAGAACGAGCTCATCGTCGTGAGTTACTAACTCTTAACACAACAACTTACTTACTCTTCTTTTATTTGGGCCTAATTGTTCCAAAACTTGTACTCATCCTGCTTTGCAAGTTCGGCCTCAATTTATTCATCATTATTTTCTTAAAGCATTACCCCTACTTCTTTATTGATTTCTTTATTAATGATACAAATAACTACGGTAACAAAAAAATCAGTATTCAGTGCAAGTATTTGCAGTATTTTATTTGAACAATTCTTACAACATCCTCTTTCATAAAAAACAACACTAAACTAACTGATCTTGATTAAATTTTCCATGAAATAAATAGAAATCTGTTATCATTATTAAGCATGTTATGGGAACACTAACCAGTGCAGAAAATGCATAGTATAAATTGTACAGTGCATTAATACACCGGCGGCGTCTGATTGTTCAGTTTCTTGGACTCCAGTCTGCAGCAAGAGGCGGTAAACCGGCGGCTAACCGTTCTGGGAGCACAAGACTCTTTCCCCGGGCTGGTGACGGTGATTAAGTCACCGGTACATCTGCACAAAGTTCCCAGAACTCGCCCATTAACATAATATATACAATTTTTAAATCTCCTTATTTCACTAGAAACCAAGAATTCAGTTGAGCTCTTTAGTAACCAAGCCACCCCCATTGGCAGGGTGATAATGTTAGGTAATCAAGTTAAGGAAATCAAGGGTTTTTTTGTACAGTATTTGATTTTTTATGTGTTTTATCACAATGTCTTCTTGTATTCTGTTTACCAATTTAAAGGTTTTTTTTCAGAAATACTTTTGCCATGGATTTTAGTGACGAACAAACAAAACAGCGGGCGCTACGTGTGTTGGCAGTGGTAATTGTGATTATAATTATTACGCTTATAATCTCATTCATATTTGGTAGTTTGATACCATCTCTCATTGGAACAATATTGGTAGTCTGCGCCATTGCATATGTGGCTCATAGAATTTATGTCAACAAAAGACAATCGGTAAGCAATATTTGACAACTAAGGGCTTTTGTGTACTGTTATTCAAAACTTTATTGTAAATGAAAAAATATCTAGAAATGAAAGTCATATTGTAGACATCAGCTTTATTCCATAACAGCATACCCAACAGATTCCAGGTTGTGAAATATGAAAATTCTTATAAACCCAAGAGTCCAATAATCTATGGCAGTTATGAAATTTTATGAATTAGTAACTATATATAGCATAACATTTTAAATAATTCTTGCCTAGAACTAAACAAAGTTGCTCCGATTTGTACTTATGGTATCAATATTTTAAGTTACTTTGTTGTGATATTCTATTGGTATCGACACTGCAGTTCCACTAAAGTATTATGTACCAAGTGGGGTGGAAACCCAAATAATGGAGTGGATTTGTGGTATCGTAACGTCCCTAATTACATAAACATATCAGTGACAGTTTGCAGAAAGAATCTTTCTATAAATAGCTGATTCTTCTTTTTGGTGAATTTCCCTATAGGGAAGTAGCGATTAGGTGGTACGGTAAGACTTAGACCTGGGACCAATATACTTTTTCATTCCGTTGGGATGTTCCCAGAGACTGGAAATCCTATTTGTTCATTTTTTTATAAATATGTATTCATACTGTACATTTTAATTCCCATGTTATTCTTACGGAGAAAAAGAAGACTGTTGTAGTTTACTTCTTGTTTGTGGATGTAATGATGATCAAATTCGTGTCAACTGGCAAATTCATTGATATTATCATATTATTAATGTTTGGTTAAAAAACACTTTTACCTTTCCCATAGCAGCAAACCTAAGCATTTGTCAAATCTAATGCTATTTAAATGGGGAATATGTCTTGTTTAGTGAAATATTGTAGTAAAAAGCCGATGAAACAAATTGAAATATTCCGTTCACAAAATTTAGACGGTTTGAGGAAAAGTGATTTCATCCCCTTCACATCACCATAAACTTTAAAACAACAGCTGATATGTGGATTGAGCTAAAAAAGGTGGTGGGGGGAAGCAAGAAAGCTTCCCCTTAAACTCCCAAAATTTTGTGAACAGACTATAGTTATACCAATTTATATAGCACTAAAGTAATACAAAAGGTTTGCGTCGGCTGCTAAACTTTTCAAAGTTTTAAATGAAACTTCTTAAAAACTGAGACATAAAGTTGAAATGTTGACTTTGAGATTCCCTTCCTCTCAAAATTTTCTTTCTTTCAAAAGAAGAATCAGGATAATCTGTCAAGTGGAAGTGATTGATTCAGAATCTTGAGGCAAAAACCTTTTCATGTTTCAAATTTATAAGATATTACAAGAAGCATTTTCTTTTGTTTACAGATGAGTCCAGATGTGGAGGCTGGAAGAACATAATCACCATATTGACTTGATATGTTACTTGCCTGAGACTGGGATGGATATAATAGTACAACTAACTTATTGCTTTCAATTATTAATTATTAGCCTAAGCTTTATGACCATAATGTGATTCAGAGGCCTAGTGATTTTTCTATTTTACTATTTAAATAAAAGCAAATAGAAATATTTAATAAATTTATATTCCAAAGATGTTTATATTTTGATAACTATTTATTTACTCTGTCATATGAAATATAGTAGAACCCCTGTTAACCAAATTCAGGGTAACCGAAATGCTTTCATAAAAAATTAATACAGGGCTGTAAAATGCTTAAGTAACTCCAGTTGTTTAGTTTAAAGTATTTTCTAACCCATGGTAACATTTTTGTAGCTGAAATAAAACACTGAATTATATAGACATCCTACTAATATTATAAATGAGAAAGTTTGGATGTATGTAGTATGTTTGTGACAAGTAAACTCGAAAAATACTGGTCGGACTGGGCTGAATTTTTTTTATAACATGGGTCCCTTCTACCTTAACCTACATACTAAGTTTTATAAAGATCAGTTGAAAAAATCTAAAAATAAAAATATTTGTGTAAAGAATACAAAATGGTAGATATCTGGTTAACAAAGCGATTTAGGAAAAAAATGTATTGTTGATTTTCTCTTCATTTTGACCCTTAGAACCATTTCCTGGAGTTTGGCTGTTTACTTACGGGACACCCTGTATAGTTGTATAAAATTCATTGTAAAAATCTGATGAAGAGAAATAAGCTAGAGTCAATCCACTAAAAGTCTATTCTAAAGTTCGGCCGCTTAGAAAACGACCTGCGCGCTAATGCTAAACCAATGCTGGAGGAGGTCGTTTTCTAAGCGGCCGAACTATAATAGGTTTACCTGTATATGAGCAACCAAGAATATTCCTTTCCATTCGTACAGATATGAAGGAATTACCTTGTTGTAATACAATAGAAGAATCGTCTCTTGCCATTAATGTAAAAACATTTTTAATTCATCCACAAATTACATTACTATATGAGTTTCATGTTTGTACAAAATCTCAAGGTTTTTCTAATATGCAAACTAACTTAAGCACATTTTGTTTCAATAAATTTGAACTTTTATTTTGTAAATCTGTTGTTCATTACTCTACTACAATTTATTTGGTACTTCCCAAATGAACCCACAACCAACAGTAGCATCTAAACCTCGTTGGATAGTTAGTGAACATTTACAGCATTTTGTTTTACATTAGCAATTTGTACAATAAAATGTCATATTTTTTCTATATGATCTCTAAAATTTAAATTTATAGTTTTATGCCCTTGTTTTGTCAAAAATGTTTTTATAAAAAAATATCTACTGTGTCTTTTTTTAATGTTTTGCTATACAAAACCTTTGACTACTAATAGCCAATGGTAAGAAGCGCGGAAGAGGAGCACAGACAGTGGAGGGCGGAAAAACGATTTATCATGGTGCTCCGCTCCGCTTCTAGGAAAACAGTAACATTAAATTACCTAAGACAAGAGGAGTCCGCTCTCTGTGTTCCTCTCTCTGCTTCCGCGCCTAGGAAAACCCACTTAAGTCATAGGAAATTATGACTGTTACTCATTTTGAAATAACGCCTGTAATACTTTGCAATTGCTCGAATTTGAGCAACAGGTGCACTAGTGATTATTAACACACTTAACTAACTAGATGTACAATACAGTTCTATGATTGCAATATTGAGCGGAGAAAGCCTATTAATCCAATACATATGAGTAATGTAACCACAAATTAATTTTTCCCAAGGGGCTCGGGTTCACATAAAATAATATTTACTTGTAGTATCCAAAGTCAGTGGTACATCTGGTATCTGGTTTACTTAAAATGGAATGTCTACTTACAGTATCCAAAGTCAATGGTTCATCAGGCTTATACAAGTGGGATGTGAAGATGCTCTAATTGGTTTTTCATTTTGTTGTTTATTATCCCAACGGTATTAATCCGATTGTTCTTACTTCCTTTTGTTCCGTATTTATAATGTGCTTGTATAAATTTACTTGTTAATAAACATGTTACAACATTTTATTATGCAAAACGTCATGGCAACCAATCAACTCATAGGTGAGGATTTTTTCGTACAAAGACGCCGTATACAATCAGTTCAATATAAAAATACTAGGTATATTATTTTGGATAAATTGGTTCGATTCAATCGATTGATTGTTGAATGAACGTAATGAACACCATTACAACAATACGTGGTCCTGTCATCGACATAGGCGGATCTAGGCCCCAAAATGTGGGGGGCTGCCGGTTGGACTGGGGGGTATGGAATGCCCCTCAGTGTGTAGGTATGGAAAATTTTTGAAAAAATATAAGCTCCAAAGACGTATTTTAGGCTATTTGGAAATCAACATGAAAGGAATTATGGATTCAGTGAACACGATGAACATACTTGAAGGACCTTGTAATCGGCTAATTTACGAATTCCATCCCATGTAAGAATTTCACCTTTACACATTATGGAAAATAACTGACATGAGGTAAAAGAAAGGAACAGACTGATCCAAACCCTAAATGTGTGTGTACTGTGTACCTAGGATCCTAAACGAATTGCTGGTTTGTAGCATATAACCACAGCCACCTCTCTTCTCATAGCATATAACTCAGGTCTTCTCACAGACGAAGTCAAGAACTTGACTTTGTCTATTGAGAGCTCCAGCACCTTTTTGGCAATAGTAAGACGTTATTTTTCACCACATAAAAAGTTAAAATTTAGGGTGTCTAGTTTATTTCGATTTAAAATTTCCAGACTTTTTAAGACTAATGCCAAATTTTTCAAGACTGGATTTTTCAACAATAATTGTTAGTGATATGTGTTGATACCAAAATGTAGCGATTCTCAATTATTGATACTAATGTCAATTTAACCAAATTTCTTAATTCTACACCAAACAACAAAAAAAGGAAAGGAAAGGGTTGTCTTTATTTCTTTAAGTATTAGTATGTAATTGGGTGTTTTTCAAGTAAAGACAAAAATGCAGCAACAAAAAATTCTAACTAGCCAATTTGGATTTTTTGGACGATGAAAATCTTCCACGACCAATTAGACATCATTATTAACTGCCTTGGACGCCATCGTCGCCGTTCGCGATCGCGGCAAAATTATGATAATTTCCCGCGGCCATGTAGACCATCGATCTCTATTGTGTAGACATCATCATTGACTCCCGCGGCCACGGAAACGACATCGGCGTCGTCTGCGATACTCGCTGCAAAATCATAAAAATTCCCGGCTCTCATATCAAAATAAAGACTAAATCCCGAATTTTTGAAGACCGATTTGAAATGCAATACTAATTCACGAATTTCCCGTATTGCCTGAATAAAATATATAATAAAATAATAAATTTTGTTTACAAAAAATCAAATCTTGAGGTTCCTATTAATTTGATTAAATAAAATTTTCTAACTTAACCAAAAAGAGTGTTAATCCTCATATCTTGGGGGGGGGGGCTAGGCTCCCCCCCTTAGCCGACACTGGTCATCGGTGTTCCTGGTATAGTGGATAGAGCATTGGGCTGATATCCAAGAGGTAGCTGGTTCGAAACCTACAGGTGGCACTAACTTTTTGCTTTTTGTCAAAGATTCTGCTTAGAATGCGATTACTTCTTAACTGTGCATCTTTTGTTAGAATTTGAGGAATTTATTATTTTATTTTATGAACAGAACTATATTTTAGATTAGTAAACATTCATTCGATTTTTATCTTAAGTTATATATTTGTTATATTATCAGCAAGTTTGGTAAGTTTAGATTATGTTAGGACAGTTTAATTTTATAATAGAATGCCCTCATTTCGTCCGTAGTATACCTTCATTCGATTTTTTCCATTATTAGCAAGTTTGGTTAGTTAGGTTAGGTTATGACAGTTTAATTTTATAATGGAATGCTCTCATTTCGTCCGTTTCACAATAAGCCTCTGACAGGATCTGTGATAAACGACAACTAAAATCGCATATCGATAGATGAGATGGATGAGATAATGTCGTGATTCGATAGAGTATCGAACGATTAACGATAGTCACAAAATCGCACGGCGCGCCACGGCGTTTTTAGACAAACAAATGCTCACGCAACTCTTAAGGCCCATATGATACATTTAAAAAACTTAAAATTTATTAGGGAGAATGTTGTGCCATTTCAGAGTATACCTTTCTATAGTTAGTTACTATGGCTGTGCTAAATTTCGTCCGGGTTACATAACGGAGGCCAGGTATTCGAAAAACAAAAGGAGTGAAGACCTTTGCTCGGACCGATAAAAAAAAGTAAAAACTTAACTAGGATTGCTTTTATAGCAGCGAAGACCAGTTGAGCTGAGCGGAGCAAAATAAAAAGTAAAAAATTAACTAGGATTTCTTTAATAGCAGCGAAAGCCAGTTGAGCTGAGCAGAGCGATCACGTTTTATGGTTTATTTACAAGTAATAAAAGGAGAACTAGAACAGCTGAGAGATACAGCAAAAGTGAAAGGTTTATCTACAACTACAATAACCAGTAAACCAGTACGTCCACCAACCCGGCCCCCTGCCTTCCCCCCATCACCATTCACCAGAAACAGGGAACAGCTGATCCGGCAGTCGTGGTTTAGGTGTTCGGCTCGCGTGCGCGAGAGAAATAAAGTTTAAATTCCTTGAGGAAGTTGGACGTTATTTTGGTCCCGCGAAACATGAGAATAATCCAAGGACGTTTTTTATGTTCGTGTATATATGTGCAATTGTCTATTCGTAGTGTGAACAATTTGACGAGTCCTGGGGGAGTGGAGCCCATACAAGATTGTTCATTATATTAAACCTCACCTAAAAAAACATCTCATTCAAAAATAGATAGGGTTCGTTTTGACTAAATGATATGGTAGAATGAACCACTTTTCTAGGTGTACCAAATGGTTGGTTAATCGTGGGAAATTCTGCTAGTATTGACGTAGTTGGAGAACTGTGTGTGATAGTTTTCATCTTTAAATGGGGGATTCATGTCGGACTTCTGTTTAAACTCAAAACGTCTCTCCCGCACTCTTTGTATAACCTTCTAAAGTCATATCCGACTAATCGATCTTTTCAAATAAAATTCGAAAATTCGTTATCTGATCTGGTGAAAATAGTATTACATTCAACCAAAAACATAAAACAAAAATATACATCGTTGATACAGAGTACAACAGACTAAAATGTGTACTTTGTGTAGACTAGCACACACCTGTTTTTCTATTTAGAAGAATTTGAGAAAGGATACAGAACTAGACTCAACCACTCAACCCAACCGGGTAATGAACTTGTACTTTTTAGAT